AAACCCTTGAGATAGGGGCCTTGATGTTGAGGTATCGCCTTGAGACAGGCTGGATCCGGAAGAGGATTCGCATCCATACTTACATGGATCCCTACCGACTTTTTGGTCGGGAAGGGTTAGAAAAGATGCCAAAAAAATATTACCGTCTTGTATGAGCCATCCTTTGTGGATCGGAATGTCTAGGGAAGACTAGAATTTCCGAACACATAATATATGGACGTGCAAGATTGGATGAGGGCTGGTTCTCACCGGCATACCCCCATGTGGGAAGATTAGGTTGGCTAGGTCAACCTAATAATTAGAGAATGGCACATTAAAAGACTTAAAACCTGGAATTGGGGCCCTGGAAGAAGGGTGTTGCCTGGAAGAGGGCTGAACCTTGGAGAAGGTTCGCGATCATAGGACATGGTCAAAATCTCCAAAAAAAGATCGGGTCTTGATGTTGAGACTTCATGATTCCAAAACCGTTTCGGATTATTTGTTCGAAGTTTGAGCAAGGTTGCTGTTAGGCATGACATCCAGGCCAAAGGAGTAAAAGAAAGTGGCATGGTAAAAAATGACCGGTCACTTTTTAATGTTCTGGATTGGCAAGAAAAAGCGAATGGGGAAAAATTAAAATTTGACCGGTCAACTTTGTCAAAAGTGACCGGTCACTTTTTAATATTCGGATTTGATGAAATCAGACAAGTTTGGAAAAACTTATTTTTGACCGGTCACATTTTGACCCGGCACCTGGACAGAAATTTGAGGCAAGACCGATGACGTTACATGACCAAACCATTGGGATTGGACCAGGACAAAATTCAACCTAGACGTCTACTACATTTCAACCTGGAAGTAAACCGGATCAGAAGACAAGTCGAGTACAAGGTGACCTGGATATTTTCAAGTCTGGAGACCAGGACATGAGATGACATGGACGTTCTTAAAATGTTTCTTAAGGGCATGAAATGACCTGGACGTTTTCAAGACTTGCACTTGACCAGGACAGAAGATGACCCGGACGTTTTCAAGATTTGCACTTAACCAGGACATGAGATGACCCGGACGTTTTCAAGACTTGCACTTGACCAGGACATGAGATGACCCGGATGTTTTCAAGACTTGCATTTGACCAGGACATGAAATGACCTGGACGTTTTCAAGACTCGCACTTGACCAGGACATGATATAACCCGGACGTTTTCAGGACTTGCACAAAGTGCCCTGGTCGCTTTAAGGAGTTGATGAGAATAAAAGTTTAAACCAGGACGTTTCTAGGACCTACTAGACCCGGGCATCCTTCAAAAGTTTCAACGAAGCCTACTAGACTTGGATGTTTTCAAGACCAGGGCATGAGATGACCGAGACATTCTAAAAAGAATTCCTAAGAGAGGGCCAAGCAAGAAAACAACCATGCAAGTCTAGCCAGGCAATTTCAAAGGAGGACCGAGCAAGAAAACAACCATGCAAGTCTAACCAGTCAACTTCAAAGGGGGACCAGGAAGGAAAATAACCATGCAAAAAATTTAACCATTCAAGAAGTTCAACCAAGCACAAAGGAATGGGACCAGACCATGAAAGCCTCCTTAATTGGTGACCCTTCCACCCTTGGGACGGGTCGGAAAGAAGAGTGGCCAACCTCTTTGTCAGGGAGCTGGACTGGAACCTTGGGTGACTTAACCCCCTCACTCCGGAGGTGCTTTTGGAAGGGTGTGCACCGGGCACTTGACCGGGTACTCTAGGAGGACTAGGAGAACTTACATGGTAGAAGTCTTAAAAAAAAAAGTAGACCGGTTAATTCTTTAGAGTTAACATTTGGATTTCTTAATAATTCAAAAGTGAGAGGTCAAAGAGGAAGACTTCACGATTTCAAAAGTGACAGGTCCAAGAGGAAGACTTGACGATTTCAAAAGTGAGAGGTTAAAGAGGAAGACTTGACGATTTCAAATGTGACAGGTGAAAGAGGAAGACTTGATGATTTCAAAAGTGGCAGGTCCGAGAGGAAGGCTTGATAATCTCAAAAGTGACAGGTCTGAGAGGAGGACTTTATGATTACAAAAGTGACAGGTCCAAGAGGAAGGCTTGATAATTTCAAAAGTGACATGTCTGATGATCTCCAAAGTGCCAGGTCTGATGATCTCCAAAGTGCCAGGTCTGACGATCTCCAAAGTGCCAGGTCTGATGAACCCCAAAGCGCCAGGTGATCCGCAAAGTGCCTGGTCTGAGGAGCCCCAAAGTGCCAGGTTAGAAGAAAGAAATGATACCCAAAACTTCATTTTCGATCAAGGGAAAGGCTTGATTATTTCAAGAAAGGATAGGGCAAGAGAAAGGCTGGATTATTTCAAAGAAGGACATGTCATGAGAATGACTTGATGATTTCAAAGAAAGACAGGTCATGTGAATGACTTGATGATTTCAAAGAAGGACAGGTCATGAGAATGACTTGATGATTTCAAAGAAGGACAGGTCATGGTAATGACTTGATGATTTCAAATAAGGACAGGTCATGGGAAAGATTTGATGATTTCAAAGAAGGTCAGGTCATGTGAATGGCTTGACGATTTCAAACAAGGACATGTCATGGGAATGGCTTGACGATTTCAAAAAAGGGCAGGTCATGGGAATGACTTGATGATTTCAAAGAAAGACAGGTCATGAGAATGACTTGATGATTTCAAAAGGACAGGTCATGTGAAGGACTTGGTGATTCAAAAGGACAGGTCATGAGAGAGACCTGGTGATTTAAAAGGACAGGTCATGAGAGAAGACTTGTTGAATTCAAAGGTGATGGGTTAACATAAGTATACTTCCCGCCCTTGATGACTTCCTCACAAGGCCGGTAAGTGGAGGACTTCTTGATGGGTATATCCCTATACCCGACCCGGACAACCGAAAGGGACAGGTCAAAATATGACCGATCACTTTTATCAATCACCAAATGAGGTTAACTCTTCGATTGGGACGGGTCAAAAGTTGACCGGTCACTTCCACTAAAAAAATGACCGGTCACATTTTGGGCGATAGCCAAAATATCACCTAATGTTGTGAAGAATTCAAGAAGACCAAAGAGACGGGTGGAGCTCAAGAAATGACCGGTCAACCTTTGAGAAAAAGGTGACCGGTCATATCATCTTACTTGACAAACATTGGTCCAGTATCTCTGGCATGGTGAACCACGTCAAAGATCGAGGGACCACCCCGCCGTTCGTCCATCACGAGACAAACAGTGAAAGGAATGTTTGTCACTTTGCAGGGCTGATTGGATTGAGAATATCCATCTATAGTCTTTGA